TTTTTTTCGCAGATAAATTATTTTATTCAAGCCTCCACTCTCTCGTGATCGGTGTTCTGATCCTGTTTTCGCGAAGATGTGCTTGTTCAATGAGTTTTTGACTGAACGCCTTTAAGTCATCACTCTGTGCTGGAAACAATGTTACTCGTTCTCCATACAACTTTGTACTTGACACCATATATTGTTTTTCGCTTATTACTGTCTAGGCAGTCGTAAGCAAAGACACCCTGATAATGCCAATTCTAGAACGGTAAAATCTCGTTCATCCCAAACGAAAAAGGCGGGGTCTCCAAACTTTATACGGTCTTCGGTGCCTAAAAAAGTGAAGTTCGCCCTTGTCTTTCGATTTCTTCCCCCCCCCCCCCCCCCGTCTCGGTCTATAGTTAACTTTTTAGTTGGCTTGACAGGTGTTTTTTTAACCTTGGTTGGAAGAGTGTGAGTTCGAATCTCACAGAGACGTATTACTAGCAGCAAGCTAGTTACAACTTCGTATATATTATAGTTACTAGAATACAAGATAGTCATAAAGAGTATTTCAATATAGTAAAAATATCATTTAATTGTAAAAAGATATTTAATGGACTGCTTACTGCTTGTCCTTGACCAAAAAAGTTACAAAAAACCCTAACATATCGGCGTCCTCATGGCAAGCGTTTCTAATATGTACGAGTTCAAAATCCCGTCTGCTGACCATCCCCACCTCAGTACAAACTATCTTGCGGGAATTACTTAAACAAAAACAAATTAGAAAGTCTTTTGTAATAGGCATTGAATCATTTCTGACTCTCTATCTAGCGTCAAGGTGTAAACACACATCGATTTATAACATCATTGCTGTTGATGTCCCACTCAAATAAGTTAATGATATTACTATGTTAGCTGTTCAGAAAATTTGCAAGCTCACTGAGGTATTCGGGACTGTTTATGGATTAGTATATCAATAATGAGAAAAGTAGATATTGTGAGAGTGTTATTTATTAAAGAGACCAAATAATATTGCTTATATATGTTACTATTAAAATCCCTATCATTCAAATCCCTGTTGTGTAATAACTGGTTTACACTGTATGAGTGCGTAGTGTACGTGTTTCTGATGTGTAACAGTTATGGAGATTGTTAACTTGCTAGATTCATTAGCAAGCAGAAAACAGTATTTGGTTCTGGAGTCTGTTCTTCACTCAATTGTGATGTGTGTACCACAGCTACCAGCATACTAGCCTTTCTATACTATTATCTTATTTATTAATATTCATAAAAAGAAAAATAATATATATATATATAATACAATATATAGTTTCTCTTTATTAATATCAACAAGCTTACTAGATATTTATTGACTATAATATATTGATAATAATAAAAATCCAAATCAAAAGAATTTTTAATTAACAATTTATTAGTTGACTATATCGAGGAATACATATATAGAGAGAAAAAAGTCAAATTCTTAGTTCACCACTTTGTAAATAATAATAACAGTAACAAAAGCAAATCCATCCCCCTCAGGACGAAGACCTGATTTGACAGCGAGGAGGAAAAAGGAGTTGGTTGCTCTCTTTCTAAGAAAGAGTGGCAAGGAAAGTAGAGGCGAGGTCAAGAAGCGCTGCACGCCAGCATACACCATTCCAAGCTAACGGATGTTTTCAGAACTAAATTTTCCGCACCACATTGCGCATAACCACAACCAACTCGTCTGGACACTTGCGCAGGAAACTGTCAGTGTGATACGCCAATAAAGACCGTAAAACACAGTACAAAAGATAATTCGTGCATTTTCTCTTGCAGGTCCAGAATAAAGAAACGTAAGCTCGCCTGAGAACGAAACGCTCAGAGAGTCGACACTAGTAAAGTAAGAATATCTTGTACTAATATTTTTGGCGGAACAATACTTACCGAAATTTCTTGCGACCAGAACGTATACTTTGCAGAGAGAATGTCAAATTCTTAGTTCACCACTTTGTTAAAAATAATAATAACAAAAATGGATCCATCCCCCCCAGGACGAAGACCTGATTTGACAGCGAAGGGGAAAAAGGAGTTGGCTGCTCTCTTTTGAAAAAAGAGTGGAGTGGAAAACAGAGGCGAGGTCAAGCAGCGCTGCACGTCAGCATGCACCATTCCAAGCCAACGGATGTTTTCTAGATCAACGGTTTCCACACCGCATCGTGCACACCCACAACCAGCTCGTCTGGACACTTGCGCAGAAAACTGCCAGTGAAATACGGCAATAAAGACCGTAAAACACAATACAAGAAATCATTCGTGCATTCTCTCTTGTAGGTCCAGAATAAAGAAAGCTGATCCTATCTGAGAACTAAACGCCCAGACAAGATATTCAAAGTAGAGTCAGTACATATGTTATGATTTTGAACGTGTGCTATGTGTAAAATAATATGCTTATCCTGCTGCTAATACTATGGGGTTAGCAACTTTTGTACCAGATAAACGGAAATAGCTGTGAATAAAAATATACTACTCATAAACCGCAAAAACTGTGCTAGGATCTTGTTTAGCAAGAGTTTGTTTATAATGTATCTGTGTAAAGCAATAGACAAAGATTATTGATTAGAGTCGATGTAAATGAAGAAAGATCTGCAAAAAAAAGAGAGAAACTTATCAAATAGTGTCGGGCCAAACAACCGTGTTATAGAGAGAACATGTCAAATTCTTAGTTCACCACTTTGCCAGAAATAACAATAGTGGATCCATCCCCCTCAGGACGAAGACCTGATTTGAAAGCGAGGGGGAAAAAGTAGTTGGCTGCTCTCTTTCTAAGAAAGAGTGGTATGGAAAGCAGAGGCGAGGTCAAGCAGCGCTGCACGTCAGCATACACCATTCCAAGCTAACGGATGTTTTCAGAACAACATTTTCCGCACCACATTGCGCATAACCACAACCAACTCGTCTGGACACTTGCGCAGGAAACTGCCAATGATATACGACAATAAAGACCGTAAAACACAGTACAAGAGATAATTCGTGCGTTCTCTCTTGTAGGTCCAGAATAAAGAAACATAAGCTCGCCTGGGAACGAAACGCCCAGAGAGTCGACACTAGTAAAGTAAGTATATTTTGCTCTTATATTCTTTACGGAACAATACTTACCGGAAATTTTTGTTACCAAGACGGATACTTTGGAGAAAGAAAAAAAGAAAAGAAAGCAAATACATAGAGCAAGATATACATATAAAGGGTATATACAAAGAGGGGTATAGATATAGATATAGATAAAGCTATAGATAAAAGTATATAGAGTCGGAAATAAAGATAAATAGAGTAAAGTCTGTTGAAAAATAACACTATCACAATAAAGGAATCTTTTAATGATAAAGAAGCCCTATATACAAATGAAAAGAAAAAAGTTCTTACCAAAATGCCCTTATGCCAAAGAGTTATGTTCAATCGGCCAAAAAAAAAACTATACGAGAGAGATGCTTTAAAGAAATAAAGGGATATATTATAGTATGGCTCAAGGATGAAGAGATATATAGACATATAGATGTAAAAGTTCTCCAAGGATTAGACGATATATCGATGGAAAGATAATTCAAAGGTAAAGAGATATGTAAGCATATAGATAGAGAGGTTCTCCAAGGATTAGGCGATATATCGACGGAAAGATAGTTCAAAGATAAAAGAGAGAGAGATAGAGAGATTTTGCTTGACCAAGCTTCTGCTAGTCTTTATATAGACAATTATTTGATTTTTTTTAAAAAAAAGAGAGGGAAAACATGGTCACTATATCGCAGTTTTTTGGAGTTATGAATGCAAATGCAGATCATCTCTTAAAATGCTATATAATACAACAGAGTAATAAGTTACCTAGTACTCTTTTGAATATTCTTGAAAATAATTATTACAAAACCTATGTAGATAGAGAGTATCAACTTATCACTCTTCAAAAAAAAATATAAATGCCTCGATATTACTCTTACAAGGAATACACTAAAGTATATTGTACTGTATTCCAAAGAATAAAAGATATATTTGTTGCATTCTTACTATCAATAAGATAGCTAGGTAACATTTTACACACAGCGACTGATACACATAGTAATTATAAGAGCTTTTTTTTTTAAAAAAAAAAGAGAAAGGAATCTACAGCATTAATAATTGATTTGCACCGCTGAGATTTTAATTGCAATATACTACCTTTGCATATCAGTATTGCATCATATACTTATTATTTATATGGAGAATCTCACTGGTCAAAGAAGTGCTCTGTAAAAAAAAACACCCGCCTTCTCTATGAAAGCTTACACTTTATTAAAAAAAACCAAGATCTTTCACAACATAATTTGTATTTTATATAAAAAACTTTAAAGTGATAATCTTTCCACTTAGACATTGTATGCCAATTAGTTGTGTTTTTAGTCAATGAGGTAGTAGATTTTTTATTTCATTTTTGATCGAAGATAGTTATAAGCAAAAATTTTATGCTGTATACTCTGGAAATAAGTGATATATTTTGTATCCTATTAATATATATATATATACAAATGATTTTTTTATCTATGCTCACAATAAAAAACACTTTTGCACCAAATAAAGTCTTGTCAAAATCTCTGCCAACTTTTAAGAATAATAATACAATTTGTAATAAATGATAACATGTGAGATATACTTTTATTAACAATTCTCTGTAAATAACATTCAAAAGTTGATTATTATAAGTACAAAAACATCATGTAAGCATACTTAACAGGCTATAGTGCAATCAAAATTTCAGGCTTTAGTGATATAATCCTATCTAATGTAAAAATTAGTATTAGGCGTTTGCATTAAATGCTTAAATAATTTAACTGCTAGTATTTATAAGTCATTTTTCTTTGATTAGATTCTCTAGATTTTTCATGTTTTGTTTTATTATCAGAGAAAAAATCCTTTCTTTTGATACAAGTGTAGTAGCAAGAGGGACAATCATTGATAAAAAACAAGTTTCTTTCCCAAATTTATCAATAAGACATTATATTTATTTATTAACCGCGTACAAAGAATATCAGTTAATTGTAGAGTATGTATCCCATTATTTTTGTATACAAATGCCTTCGATCAAAAATGAAATAAAAAATCTACTACCTCATTGACTAAAAACACAACTAATTGGCATACAATGTCTAAGTGGAAAGATTATCACTTTAAAGTTTTTTATATAAAATACAAATTATGTTGTGAAAGATCTTGGTTTTTTTTAATAAAGTGTAAGCTTTCATAGAGAAGGCGGGTGTTTTTTTTTACAGAGCACTTCTTTGACCAGTGAGATTCTCCATATAAATAATAAGTATATGATGCAATACTGATATGCAAAGGTAGTATATTGCAATTAAAATCTCAGCGGTGCAAATCAATTATTAATGCTGTAGATTCCTTTCTCTTTTTTTTTAAAAAAAAAAAGCTCTTATAATTACTATGTGTATCAGTCGCTGTGTGTAAAATGTTACCTAGCTATCTTATTGATAGTAAGAATGCTACAAATATATCTTTTATTCTTTGGAATACAGTACAATATACTTTAGTGTATTCCTTGTAAGAGTAATATCGAGGCATTTATATTTTTTTTTGAAGAGTGATAAGTTGATACTCTCTATCTACATAGGTTTTGTAATAATTATTTTCAAGAATATTCAAAAGAGTACTAGGTAACTTATTACTCTGTTGTATTATATAGCATTTTAAGAGATGATCTGCATTTGCATTCATAACTCCAAAAAACTGCGATATAGTGACCATGTTTTCCCTCTCTTTTTTTTAAAAAAAATCAAATAATTGTCTATATAAAGACTAGCAGAAGCTTGGTCAAGCAAAATCTCTCTATCTCTCTCTCTTTTATCTTTGAACTATCTTTCCGTCGATATATCGCCTAATCCTTGGAGAACCTCTCTATCTATATGCTTACATATCTCT